ATACTTACACCTGATATCTCAAAGCGCTTCTAAGTCAGTACCTCCTCAAGCTTGTTCTACTCCTATTAGTGAACAGTGAACCAAACCCTTTGCAACAATGCTGTTTCCCATGCCACCTTGTTGAGAATATCTCCAAGCTGTCCTTTACACCAACCGATTCTTTCCACTCCACCCTGGCCCCACCTGCTCCCACCTAGATTGCACTGCTCGCCTCTCCAGCATACTCTATGATCAGGGACCTTTTAAAAATGCCAACCTTATTAGGCCAGCTCTCCGGTTTGGTACTTCAGGGGACTTCCAGGATTAAACATCAGAACCTCCAGTTAGTCTTGTACACTATTGCAGTTTGCTCCTTCTCTCCTGCACCCCACACTGCACCACCTCTCCCTTCCTCCACGAGCTGCCAAGTGCCTGCTTATGGCTTGTCCTTCACCCTCCGAGTGCCAACCTTCTTTCCAGCCCCAACAGTGACTTTAATTTCACAATTGTTTGGCATCCAGAACAGGTACTTAATGACAGGTATGGGGGTGAATGGGATGAATGATTCCCATAGTGCCTGCCCCCAGGAGATTCAAGTGAGTACCGTGATAGCACAGAAAACCTTCTAGAATATCAGGCAGGGAAGAGATGGGTCACCCAGGCATCTGAAAAGACTGCGGAGTGACAACTTAGAAATCCATTAAAGGAGAAACAAGAAAAGTCCTGACATCGTTACTTCTTGGTAGCAATGCCATTGAATGTTTTGATGGCTAAAGTATGTCATGGCCATCACCTGGCCTTAACAAATGTGCTCCTATGATTTTTGCTAACTCTTGAACTAAGCAAAAATATACTTGATTCGGTACCCTTTTAAGTAATTTAGGGACTAACAACTATTCACATTAAACATCAGGACAAAGGGAGACTGACAAAAGCAACGAGGGGAATTTGACCCCAAGTCTATGGAACAGAGAAGGGCTGGACATAGGACAAGGAAACAATAAGGCTCCTCCCTGGAGCCTTTCCTCAAGGAGCCACTCCAATTGATCAGGTGACAGATGGCAGCATCCCTGAGCTCAGAATCCTCCCCCAATGAATAGGCAGCCTTTTCAACACTGGAACTTGGTTTCATGGTCAGTCATGGAAGTTACCAGCCGGAAAGAGAGAAGATACTTTTACACAGGTGACCACTGAGGTCTTCCCAGCCTCACTGAAGTCTTCACTTACAAGCCATGGACGCAAAAGTATTCGTGTGCTGTTGTGGGGCTGAGGGCCGCGTCCCAGGAGTATGGGTAGAAGATGGGTCCTGCATTGTCCTCCACCCCTACAATAGGCAGTATCCAGGGTTGAGAATCTGTTGCCTTAATAGTCGTGTCCAGACCTGGTTTGATGGGCAGTCTAGAGCAGGGGGAGGCAGGTGATTTGGGAGAAGTCTCCATAGGATGGGAATGAAAACAGAAAACTGGTGGCACAGTGCCTATGGCATTTTACTGCTAACCAGAAGGCTGGCAGTTCAAACCCACCAGCCATTCCTAGGAAGGAAGATTGGGCAATCTACTTCTGTAGAGATACCGCCTCAGAAACCCAAGGAGGGGTCTTTATGAGTCCAACTGACTCCATGGCAGTGAGTTTGGTTTTTTGAGGGCCTTAAAGGTCACTGTCCTTAGCCTGCTGCTTAGGAGTAGATTCTGGCGCCTAAAGCCCCAGGCAGGAAGTGGTGCGAGGTACGCCCTACAAAAGACCACCCATCGGGCAGGGACTGGGCTTCCATTGCACCTGAGCTCAGTCTCCCTAACCCTCCCCATCATTACTGGGGTGGTCTTCGGTCCTTTTGAGAATCGGGTGAGATACTGGGTGTGAAAGCGCAGACACACTTGAAAACCAAGCAAAGCGAGCACTGCTAAATGGCCTCTTCCTCGAAGGCTTCTCTGTGGCTATTTGCTCTAGGCAGGAACATGCTGCCTAAATCTGCAGTTCCTTTTGTTCTGTATGTATAACCTTTTACCCTGCCTGGCAGGATTATTCAGAAACACATGAATCGGCATAGAACTCAAGGATTTTATGCACCATGCATATTCAATTTCCAATTGAAAACTACCACTGTCTGGAAACTCACTATCCCACCAAACTTACAACTATTGATAGGTATTTATTCTCTCTCTCTCCTAGATCACGTGAAACATCTTTCTTCTAACAATTTTCTTTTCCACTGGTAGAAAGAAGTCAATTAAAAACCAAAAGCAGCACAAAAACAGCTAGAGGAAGTGTTTGTGTGACAATGCAACAGTCATGTCACTCGAGCACCTACAACCCCTAGTAGGGTCCAGTCCTGTTATGTTCTGATTGTCATTTTCCAGAACTGTCAACTCTGGACTCCTTGATGAAAGTAGGGCAAGACGACTATGAAGACCACCATTCCATACACGAAATCCAGATGGCAGAGCCACGTCCACAATCCCTGCAGTCACAACCCCCCTTGAAGAGCTGGGAAGAGGCCAGAACAATGTTCCTTCCTCAAGTCACTGCACTAAGCCTCCTCTCTAGGAAGCACTCCCAGGTCTCTCACATCAGCCATGTCCATTCTAGCCAGATCACATACTGTTCACTGCTACAGTGTAGCTCAGTCACTGGCCTTGCGTTACAATTTATCTCCTCTCTTTGATCCACTCATAAACTAGAGTAAGGTCCTATCTGACACCTTAGAATCTCATTTGACACCATCTTTCCAAATCGTTCTTGTCAACATCTAGCCCACCAGCAGCATGCAGGCTGGTGGTGGTGCCGCCGCATGTTCTAAATGTGCCCGGTGTCCAGAACACTTTGACAACAGCCCAGTTACAGAGTATTAGGGGCATCTTTCCAGGAGAGGGCCATTTCCCTTTCAGATTTCTTCCCTCTTTTAGCTTTAATTAGCCCACCCCTAACCCCCTTTGACTCCAGCAGAACAGAAGCAGGGGAGATGTGAACTGGAGGCAGAGCAGACACAATTCAGAAGTAATGTCTGGCCCGCTACAGCTCTTTGGGCGAGTGACAGCTGTTCTTCCTAGATTCGGGGACCTAGCTTCTCTATGGTTACAGGACACTTCAGCCATGCAACAAGGGTACACTCAAGACCAATCAGAAGAGATGTTAAAGAGGCTTCAGAGAAAGAGGATCCAGGTGCTGCTTAAGGAGTCTGGTGATGCTATGTGGGACAGTGAGTTCTCTCTTCATCAGTATGCCCATGCCTTTCAGTTGGCTTTTCAGGGAGTGGGCACAGTCAACCTTCTACCACGAGGCCAAGGCTCAGCTTGTGTTTCAAGACTGTGGGATTCATGAGCCAGAGGTAATGACTGAGTTTAAGGGCTGTGTCTGACAGGGCCAATGAAGAGGTCAATGAGCTGCTTAGGCTTTTGTGTACATTGATTCAAAACCAAACTCACTGCCATCAAGTTGGATCCAACTCTTAGAGACCCCCTCCTTGGGTTTCTGAGGTGGTATCACTATGGAATACACTGATTAGTAAGTGGCACTGTTCATGTGGGCCTGCTGGCTCCAAAGCAACAGTACAGCTGGGAGGGTAATCTTTGGAAAAAGTGGATGGATTCAGGTGTATGAACAATCCTAGATATGTAACATATTCTGTATCTTTCATTTTGATTTTCCCAAGCAGCAAGTATTCTTTTGTTACTGACATTAATTTAGAACAACTAAATAGGGAAGCAGGATTCTGACCTGAGAATAGAGAAGGCTGAGAAAATAGGCTATACCTAAATACCATCTGTTTGCCCAGGCCTCCTCTGCCATCTTCACAATTACCACACTGAGGCCCTCCTGAACTGAGGCAAGGGTAAAAAGAAAAGGACTAATCAGTTCCCTGATGCTTCTGTGGGAGAGTTTGCAGAATCCTGAGGGGCAGGATTCTGGCGGAAGTGAGGAGTTCTCACTCTGCCTGGGGGCCAGGGTGAGATGCCCGCCCACAGAAGAGGTGGCGACTGCCTTGCCTCCACCTGTTCAAAGAGACTAGGACGTCCTCTCTCTCCCTGCCATGCTCAGAGACCCAGGCCAAATTCCCCAACCTATCTTCCTTGGGACCAAGAAGAAAGAGCAGGCTGAATGATACTGCATACAGACCCAAGGATAACTTAATTTTATGGGTCAAGCCAAATACAATGAAGAGTTACTATTTTTTTTTAAGCCAAAATAAATAAAATCAGGTCCGTCACTATGAAGAGTCAAAGTGATGGTGATGAAGGGCAGCTGGCACTCGGCCATATCCTATCCCCTCACTTCTCCCTTCTCTCACCCCTTGGATATGCTTTGGCACAGCAAAGAAAATAATGCATCAGAAAGTCTCCATTTTGTTAAAGGGAAACAAGAGGAAAGAAAGGAAAAGCTGGAGGTGGGGTCAAGAGGAAAAAGATGGAGATGGAGGAGTAACTAGGACACAGGGTTCAGAGTGCCAGCACCCTGATAGCTTCAGGGCACTTCCTGGCACACCCTCTTCCAGGCGCCCAGACCCCAGGCAGGAGCAGACACGTAAAACCTCCCCTCACACAAAGGGCATGAGGCTCTTCCTGACTCTTCTCTTCTGAGCCAAGGTGAGGTAGAGCCGCTCCCTTTGCCTCCATCCTCAGTCTACCCAGAAGCCAAGAGTCTGGCCAACGCCCAGCCCACACTATGGGATCCCTTTCATGACAGACTTGACTGTAAGATGCAGGTACTTTCCTCCCTGCTGATGCTAAGGATTGGCCAAGGAAGCCAAAGCTCTTATAGTCCCAGATACAGCCGCTCTTCCCTTGCTGGCTGACAAGGACCACCAGCACAGTGAGGCCTCTAGCCTTCTCTACTATAGGAGCCAACCTGCCCCACAGCCCACACTCCTTTCCCCTGCTCCCTGAGACCTGGAGTCAGGGGGCAACACAGTGCTGGGGCACACCAGTGGGGGAGGCATCTGACAAGAGGGGCCAAGCAGTTGAAGGGACAAGAGATCCCATATCTCTGAGAGTAGGAGAGTATCAGTGCAGTGGGAGGGAGCCTACGCAGCACTGAGGCACTATTCTTTAGTGAAGAAGCATGGCAGTCATGGGTGTGGAGAGGGGGGCTGGCAGCTCAGGCCAAGGTTTATGCCAAGTTCTTGAAGGCATCCAGATTGAAGGCTGTGTCCAGGAGGCGCTGCAGCTCTGTCAGGTGGGTCTTCTTATTGCCAGTGGCTGGAGCAGCTGCTGGGTCCCGGCCAGCATACCTGTAACAGAAAGCAAAGAGGCTCACCAGGGCTTGCTTCACTCAGGATGTCCTGGCTGCCTGCCCCTGTATGGGTTTCCCTGGGTAGCAGGGCCTTACCAGACAGGCCGGGAGCGGCTGATGGTTGTCCGGAGCCGGGGTTTCACATAGTCATAGTACCCTTGGTTCTTGTGCTCCTCCTGGCACCAGGCCAACTCCGCATTGGGGTACTTCTGCACCTCCTTCAGCAGGAGGTCGAAGGGGAATGGGGAGAGCTGGGAGGAAAGCAAGATGACAATGTCAAAAAGAGGACAGGGAGAGGTTGACAGCCAGAACCTAATAAAAGGGGCAAGACTTGTGCTCTGAAGGGGATAGTCTTGCCACAAGAACAAGGAATTGGTGTGCTTGACCTTGGCAGGCAATGCTGAATGCTGTGCCCAGCAGAGACAGATGGTCTGTACCGGACACCCTGACCTTACCTGCTCAATTCTTGTGATGGCCACCTCCTCTGCCATGTTGCGAGCTGCACGTTCTCGGGTGAGGTCGTAGTATACCTTGCCAGTACAGAAGAGAAGTCTCTTGACATTCTCTGGGTTCTGAGAGGCAGGGCCATTTTCTGGGATCATCCGCTGAAAATGGGTTCCTACAAGACAGTCCACATGGAGAACTGGCTTTCGCCAGGATCTTGACCTGAGAGGTTCTCACAGAGCCCCACGATACCTACAGGCCTTTCACTACTGTTGCAGTGCCTCAAAGTCTCACAGGAGAGCTGTGCAGTGTAGCACCCGCACAGCATGCTATTTCCATGGGCTAGAGGCACCAAGCCCAAACTCCAGTGGCTGAGCTATTTAATTATGAAGTTAGCATCCAGAATTTATTCAGACTGAAGAAGAACTTTTAAAACCACACTATATGTAACATACACAGAGTGAACAAATTCTACCTCTCATATCAAGTAATACCAATTTATTGTTTTATAACAATCTGTCTCAGACTTTGGGGCAAATAAGTACATGAAATAATCTCATGCTCACTCTACTCATACTTTATTTTATTCATATGAAAACTTTCAACACAATCAGAGCAAATATTAAGACACCTGGGGCTGGGATTGGTGTCCATAAGAACAGTGCTGACATATAAAAACCTGGTTCAAAACAGTAAGAGTTCTGTGGGATCCAAAAGAGAACTCCTCCAAGAGAACAGAACCAGGTGGTGCTTCCCACTGCCCATGCCGAGCCCCGTGCTTTACTGTCCCTAACTGAGTGATAATCTCAACCCCATGCATTTGCCTGTCAATCATGTCACTGTGTGGGTGCAAACATCTTGCTTTACACCTGGACTGCAGGTAAGTGACTTGGCAGGTCCCACCAGCCCAGTGTATTACCCTTATTGCAAAGGACTCTGAGTCAGCATGGAGATGCTATGGATTTCTGGGACGAAGGGGGAAGGTAAGAGCTGTGACTCTCAATCTTGTATTTTTTTCACCTACTTCAAAAAGAATCCTGAAGAACACACAAAGGTAAGTGCCACCAGTCCTTAGAGCTAGTGGGCTAACCATGCCAGTGGCCCAAACTCTCAGGAAAGGTCAGAGTTTTTCTACACTTGTTGATCCTCTACCTCACTGTCGAAACATATGACAAGAGGCACATAAGTCAAAAATAAGTAGAATCCCCAACAGCAGCAGCCAAGAATCCCAACACAAATGTTACTATAACCTCATTGAAACACTGGTCCTATCCCTTGCCCTCCATTCATACCTGGAAGCATTTCATCAAAGCTGGTTCTTGCTTCAGGGTGACGTAGCAGAGATTTTGGAGTGAAGATGATTAACTGAAATGCAGAACAGATAGGCAGAGTCTAGAAGGGAGGTTAATATAAGCAGCTTCCCAAGCCTGAGTATCTCAGGATTCTACCACCCACACTCCCGTTTGGCATTCAGTAGGTTCTATAGTTCAGGAGAGGCAGAAAGAGGAGAAAAAGGGAACAATAACAAACTCCTTGCTTCAGCTCCTCTTCTGCACCCAATGAGAAGCTGGCTCATAGCCAGGCAGGCACCCACCCGACTGGCCCACTCCTGCCTGTGTGGATACAGCTGCCCTGAGCCACTGGTGCCCTGCAAATGCAATATGGCTTCCCACTGACACCACCTACACTCAGGAAAGAACTCTGAGCCTCTTGTCAGTACCCCAAAGTAATTATAACTATGCCTCTAAGCTATGTGGACCACTGGTGTGAGCAGCTTATGACTCCTCTCCTCCTCTGGACTCCTGCCATGAAGAACCTGAAGAACACAAAGCTGCAGGCTGTTCCTGTGTGCTCCTAGCCCAGTAACATCATGGAGCAAAAGGGTCATGCTTTCTCACTGAACCCTTACACATACCTTCTTGACCATCCCCCTCACTTGCCTTCTATCCTCCACCCAAAAGATCTTCCTTCTGGCTCAGGTGAGCACAGGTGGCATGCTCCCTTCTTCCCTCAGCCCCTGCTAGGTTGATTCCTCTTCCAGAACCCATTTTACTAACTAGGGTCCCCTTAAGAGCTGGGGCATCTAACCTTCTCTGCACACCCAGTTTAGGTTCTGGCGCAGAGTAATACTTAAAACATGAGAGAATCGTGTGAACAGGGAGAAGGATCAGCTAGTTTGGGGAAGAGAATGTGAAAGAACAATCCTTGAAGGCTATTCCTGAGGAGTCCTTCCCTGATCCAACACAGGTCTTCAGTTCAACCCTCAGGTCAGGCCCTTCTAGGGAGACATCCAACTGACCGGCTTCCGAAAGGGCAAGAGAATCTGGCGTCGCAGGACGTGGAAGAAGTTGCCAGGGGTGGAACAGTTGACAACCACCCAGTTGCAGTCATATAGCTGATTTATGTCAAAGTTGGCTTCCTCCAGATCCTGCAGCAAGAAGAAGAGGGCCAGGGGTCAGGAAAACCCTGAGCACGATCCTTGTGGGAGGTATCTGGGGCTGCAGGGGTGGGAATAGGGGTAGTAGCAGAAGAAAACCACACAGCCCACCTCAAGGGACTCACACTCCCCTGAGAGATGCAAACACAAGAACATAAAACCAGAGTAAATCTAGCAGCTTGAGCCAGATGGTCCTCACATACTTTGAAATGAGATTCTCTATCCATTTACTTCCTCTTACTTCTCTGAAAACTATTGTGTGGCACAAAACAGATGCTACTTTAAGAGACAAAAGTTCTACCTAAAACCAACTGTAACGTTCCACAGAAATTGCTTCTAAAGTTTCACTAAAATCATGCCAAAGTGTTTTTCTCTAAATAATATTGCCTGTCTCAAAATAATGCAGTATCACCCCTAAAGTGCAGCCCACAACTGGCATATTCAAGTCTCTCTGCAACAACAGGAAGCAGTACTGCAGCCAACAGGCATGTGGCCACACCTATACACCCAACCTGGGGCTCACATGCCTGGCTGACTCCTGGAGTCCTCAGCTACAAAGCAGGGTAGAGCACTGACTCCTGAGCAGCTCCTAGAGCTGTGTCTGAGTAAGGTCCAGGGAGGACAAGGACATTGTCTATCCTTAGGGACTTCTACTAACCGGCAGTACATCTGGATCATCATTGCACATCTGCAGGAACCTCTCTGGTCTGGCCGAGGAATGTTCTGGACCCTGGAACCAGAAACACAGTTACATCTGGGAGCTTCTCTCATGCCAACAGCAGCATTCAGTCTGTTTCTCTTCCTTAACAACTTGCTAATTTTGGGTCTGAAAAATGCCAATTTCTTTTTTTGTGTATGATGGCAGAGTTCATGTCTTTCTTCTCCTTCCCAGCCATTGAGCATAAGAAGACATTTCTCCTTACGGGACTGAACCCAGGAGAGTGTTCTATTTCTTTAGAGATGGGACTAGAATTAGGGTTAGAGATATAATATAGTCTTAGGACAGAAAAATCTTGCTGACTGACTGTATCATACAGAGCATCTTGTAGAGCAGGGACAGCCTCAAATGGGGGTAGGTAGGTAGGGAAAAGGGCTGAGCAGCTTCCTAGGATAGTGCAGGAGCTCTTGCCTGTCAGGGCAGACAGATGCAGTGGCATTGCCTGCTTGTCATCAAGAATGGGGAGAGGGTTGGAGGAAGGACAGGCACACCAGCTGCATCCAGATGACCTGACTCTTGTCTTCCAAAGTGGCACCCCACTCTAAAGCCCTAGGAATAGATGGATGGGAAGTGCCCACAGGAGTTGGCTTGGTGCCCACTGGGGAGGAGGAGGGTCTATGGCAGGACTTGGCAGTGAGGCAGGAAAGTACTCACCATGCCCTCCATGCCATGGGGCAGCAGAAGCACGATGCCATTCTGTCTCACCCACTTGGCTTGTCCTGGACAGATGAACTGGTCAATAATGCACTGGGCTGTGTTGTGGAAGTCACCAAACTGGGCTTCCCAGAGGACCAGGGCATTGGGACTGGCCATCGCAAAACCCAGCTCAAAGCCTACAAAAAACAAGAGGAGAAAATCCCACCCCAAGCATCAGCCTACAAGAATGGAGAGTCATGGAGTTTCTGTCAATTTGAGCACAATGTGGAGCCACTCACCTAGAACTCCATACTCAGACAGAGAGCTGTTGCAAACAGTGTAGGGGGCCTGATTGGGCCACAGGTGGTTCATGGGGATGCAAGTCCTCTTGTCCACATTCTGGTCATGTAGCACATGGTGTCGGTGACTGAAGCAGAAGAACAGTGTTACTAGCCAGGAAATCGAACTTAATCTCTATGTGACAGGCTTGTATGCAGAGGACCCTGATGGGACACAATAGATTGCACACTACACTTGGGCTGCCAACCAGGTAGGCAACTGCAGAACGCAACCAAACCAGCCACAGAAATGGCTCTTTTAAGCCTAAGACAAAGTAAGTTAATAATCATTTTTTGGAAATGATTTTCCTCTGGAAGAAGAACTCCATTTCCACCTCTTGTCCTTTGAAGAGCAAACAAAACCATCCACTGTCTCACCTGAAAGTGCCTCGCTCAACGTCTTGGCCACTCAGCCGGATGTGGATCCCCTCTTTCAGGAGAGAGCCAAAGGCCATATACTCTGCCAAGGCCCAGTCCACGGTCCTATTCTTTACCAGCTCTCCCCGTGTTTTTAGGATCCGGCTTAGCCCTGCAGAAACACTGCACTTAACAGATGGCTGAGGCTCCAGGCCAACAGCAACTGCCTCACTTCCCAGGAACCCACATGACAATAGCAAAGACATCCCTCACTTCGTCTCAGGACTCCTGACTGGCTGGAAAAGTAGCAAAAATGAATTTATCAACCTTAGGTAAATAAAAAGACTGTGACAGCTCCTATTTTCCTTTAGTGCCAGCTAGGGAAATGGGTGAGTGAGGAACTCCCTCACTTAGCTCTCCAATGGCCCTGCATGAGGCTAGTGTTGGAGTATACGTGTTATCCAATAGGACCAAGGTCCTGAGTACTAGGGCACAACACAGTTCCAGATAGAAGCCTTCATGCAATGTGACCTCAGCGTTTATATGGCCAATGGCAGCAGGTGTTACCTCCATGAATAGTGAAGTTCTCCACAGGCACAGAGCTGGCCACACGCCCAATATGCATCAGAATATCTTCTGTTAAACCCGTGGAGGGGCAAGACATGCTCCTTGGCTGCCCATCCAAGGTGAAGAAACCTAGGAGAGAAAAGGTGAGCTGAGGCACTATGACCACATGGACAATGAGAAATGCTGTAGACTAGGCATAAAACTGTGCAGAAATAGCGAAGGGACTTAGGGCAGCCTGGAACTTATCACAGTGGGTGCAAGGAACGCCCTCTCCATTTCCCAGTAGAAGCACTGGCCTGGGATCTGGACTTGAATACAGAACTCTGACGGACAGGGAGTGCGGTGTAGTAAATTATTTAGTGTGGCTTTTCTACCCATAAGTCTTTGTAAACTCCAAGGTGGGATTTGCTATGAGCAACTGAGGAGCTCCTGATTGCTGAAGGTGTCCACCTGGAGTATTTCTGTTGGGAATGGCACAAAACAATGTTCTGGGAGGTGTCACTCTCTCTCAGGTGCTTAGAGTTCTGATACTATGATTGGCTAATTTGACCACCCTCCCGGGCTCAAAAGGAGGCCTCCCAGAGGCAGAACCCTCTCTGACTGCTGATTGAGGAAGACGTGCTGCTGAAAGAGACACACGCCCCTGAAAGAAACATGTGCTGCTGGGAAAGAGACGCAAGAGACATACACTGCTGAGTGAGACACCGAGGGACCAGCACTGCTGGGAAAGAGACTGTGAGAGACTGCTGGGTGAGGGACGGTGGGCTGGGAGAGAGGCTGAGCATTTTTCCTGAACTTGAATTGTAGCCTGTGGTGCTTCCCTAATAAACCCCATAATCTGTGAGCTCTGTGTGGCCACTTCAGCGAATTATTGAACCCAGGAGAGAGGTGGTGGGTGCTTTGGGAGGAACGGTTGGAGAAAGGGCTGGAGGGAGGCAGCATGTCTGGCCTTGTAGGAATAGGCCTTGAGTTACTGCTGGTAATCCTGTCTTCCTCTTGTGGGATTAGAGGAGGTCAGAACTTGTGGCCTCCTTGCCATTTTAGCAGGGAGGGAGTATGAACTCTCTTCTGGGAAAAGGGTTTAAGGTTATAATAGATTCACAAAGGAATGTGTGCCCCATGAGAGAGAAGGAATTCCACCAGTTTCCTTCTCCTGTCTCACCAGGCCAGGGAGAGTCGAGCCAGTGTTTGATGTGCAAGATCTTCTCATCTTTGGACCTGGCAAATGCTTCCTCACAAATCTTGTCGTACTTGGAGATTTCCTCCTGGAAAGCAATGACACAACACAACAGTTAAAAGGCTCTCTGATCACAGTCCAGCAGACCCTGGGGCCGGATGTTACCCACACCTCACTTCCCTTGGCACAGAGCACACGGACTCTGCTAGCTTCTGCCCACAGCTCTCCAGCAGTAGCCTCTACGTGCTAAGATATGCAAGAGCCTAGGCTCTTTATTCCTTTAATTCTCAGTACTTTCTTCTCTGCATTTACTGCCTTTGCTGGAACTCCTCCTCAAAGTTTAGTCTCCTTTAGTTCTCCCTACCCCAATATTCTTTCTTAAAAATGGGTCCAGTTCATGATTCCCAGCATAGCCCCCAGAAGGACTGACCCCCATAGCGCTGCCTTCCCGGCTATGCTGACCCTCTGTAGCCTGATTCCCAAACCTCCCATATGGCTGCCTCATTAGCCATCTCTGTTCCTGACACCAGCACCACTGCAGAGGTCCTTCCAACTCAATTAATAGAACTTAAAGTTCATCACCGACAGGCCCTTCCACCAAACAGAACCTTTCATCTGACTTAGATAGCACCTCTGTCCTACCTATCTCAAACCCACCCTACTTTATATTCACAATCTTGCTGAATTCCACTTCCTTTTCAAACTTCTCGGAGTCCATGCACTCCAAAAGCTACTAAAATGCTGCAGGTATAAACATGTTTCCATGTTTTCCCCAGGATTCTAATAACTTTGCAAGGCAAGCAGTGCCCTGTGGCCTCGCTCATCTCACCCTCTGACAGCTCTGGAGAGGTCTGTGGAGTGAGAGCTGAGTGGAATCGCACCTCATACTCTGGCTGATTGACCACTCCCTGTGATATGAGCAGCTCGGCATACTTCTGCAGCACAGGTTTCTGCTTGCGGATCTGCTTGTACATGAGTGGTTGTGTGAACATGGGCTCATCCATCTCATTGTGGCCATTGCGCCGGTAACACACCTGGTCATGACAGTGAATCCCAGAGTTAGAGAATCAAAGCCAATGCAGGAAGCAACGCAAGCAGGGGAAAAGCCTGCCAGGCTAGGGCTCAGAAGCATGATGGTCTGTTCCATTTCTTCCAAGACAGCAGTCACTAAGTCTCTTGTCTGCTCTGCCTCAGTTTACTATCTCCAGAATTAAGATACTCTCTCTCATTCATATACTAGAGTTCTGACTATCAAATGAAGTAACATGAGAGAGTTATTTGGGAATATAAGTTCTTTATTCATAAAAGTGGCCCCATGACAGGACCAAACGAGCTCACCAATTATATTCTCCATCATCACAGCTCTGTTGCTAATGAAGCATGGCATGCCTCATGATTCATAGCTGTATCTAGGCTTGAATACTCAGGAGTTACAAGACATTCATGAGTTAGACTAGGGGAGAATTCATGTGAGACTTGAGACTAAAGAATTTCTGAACTGAATCATAAGCAAAAAAAAAAAAAAGCTCTTATACTTGAGAAGCTCAGCTTAGAGATGCTTGTTTCTGGAAGAACCCAGGGTGCACTCACCAAGTCAACAACCACATCCTTGTGGAAGGTGCTCCTCCACTCAGCTGCCACATTGCACACATACATCACTGCTTCAGGGTCATCTGAGTTCACATGGAAAATGGGGGCATTCACCACACGAGCCACGTCTGTGGGGTAGGGAGAAGACCGGGCCATCCGAGGGTCTGTAGTGAAGCCAATCTGCAAGGAGCACAGCAGGACTCATCAAGCAGATGCATGTGCAGGGCCACAGCTTAGAGGTCAAGAGCACGTAAGAATGTGCCTAGTCAGTAATACTAGGAGCAGGGGAGGCATTCAACACATGTTCACTTAATATGGAAATACTGGGGGGACCAACATAGTCCTGACACGACTGAGCAACTCCTCAACTTGCTTTTCTGGTTTCTTTTCTTTTGGATTTTTTGTTTTTCATTTCCCAATAACTAAATTCATGTATGTTCAACATAGAGAATTAATAAGAGACAGACAGTATTAAAAAAACAAAATTACCCATAATCTGACCAAATATGGTGTAAATATATTGATGTTTTCTTTGCATGTATGTGTGTGTGTGTGTGTAATATATTTAGAAAAGTCTATAACTTTGTGTTTTCTCATTGTATCTTTGAAAATAAATTTTAAAGGCTTCATAATTCTCCCTACTACTTTTTGCTGTTAGCTACCGTTGAGTCAGCCCCCAACTCATGGTGGCACAATTCACAAATGCACTAAAATATAATTAAATACATTCATAATTTTATATTCTACATTTAAAGTTCTGATTTCATGTAAGAATTCAAACATATAGAAATGTATAATATTCTAATGATCACCCATGAACCTGTCACCCAAATTTTAAAAGTTTCATCATATTTGATTTTAAACCTTTTTTATTCCTTCAAATAAAATAAAATATTCCTGTTACACTTGAAGCCAAAGCCTGCATTCTTCCCTGATTCTATTCCTGTGCAGGGGGATCCAGTAACCTGAAATTAGAGAACTCATTTCCACATATTAGTATATACAGTTCATATATCCATAATATGTAGTATATTTTTAGGCTTTTTGGTAACTTTGTGACATAATTTCACACTTACAAAAAGTTCAAAGAACAGTACAGTAAACTCCTGTCTACCCTTTAACCAGATTCATCAATTGTTTACATTTTACTACATTTGCTTTTCTTTTTTTTCCTCATTGAGGGTCATCCTCCTTTTTTGCTAACTTTTTTTTTTAATGGGTAATATCCTTTATTTTGTGTGCCATTCTACCTTGTTTTTTATTTACTTTTTTTTTTTATTGTGCTTTAGTTTACAGAACAGAGTTTGTTTTACATTCGAAATTATGTGTACATTTAGTTTCACTCCCCATTTACCATCTCCAACCCTAACCCAGTCTCCTCCCCTCCCTGCCCAGTAACCCTCTCCCTGTACCTCTCATAGTTATGCACTCCTGTGTGTCCTGCATTTCCTCCATGCGAATGATGCCCCTCTGGTGCCCCGTGGTCAACTGCTCCAAGGAAAGCATTTCCATAGATTATGTGGGTGCATCACCCTGGGCTAAGTGGTCTGCGTGTACATCTTGTTTACTATTGGGCTGAGAGCCAGCCCCTCGGAGTGAGTTTTATTCCAGGCCCAGAATGTATCTCAGGGCTGTAGTACTGGGGATCTCACCAGGCTCGATCAGACCAGTAATTCTGGTTATTATTGAGTTTTTGGATTTTGTTCTGCTTTTCCTTCTACTCTATCCAGGATCTCCAAGTTTGATCATTTCCTGAGTGGTTGGCATTGGTAGCCAGGCACCATCTAGTTCTTCTGGTCTCAAGATCCATCATGTCCTAGGGCTGAGCATCCAAATTCCTTTGTTTTTTGCACTCTTCTTTGCTTCTGATGATAGGAGACCATTAGCTGCATCTTAAGATGGCTGTCTGAAGGCTTTTAAGACCCCACTCGCTACTCACCAATGTAGGATGAGGAACAAGACTTTTATGGATTTTGTAGTGCCAATTCAGTCTGGTGTCCCCCAGTACTATGGTCCTGAGTCAGTAGATTCACTGGCTCTCTCACCCACAGTGTTTGGCTGTCTGTAAGGGATTACTCTATGTCTTCTGTTGCTTCTGTAAGGATTGTGGGTATTTTTATATCACTGATATCTGTGCAAGATTAGGCTCCACTGAATCTATCCTTAGTCTAGTATAATCCTGTTCACTGACCCTATCTGATCTTCTCAGATGTTTATGTGTTTATCTGTAGCCTGGTGTTTGGTGTTAAGGGTAAGGCAATATTGTGGATATACTGGTAGGTATTTATTTGCTTTATTTTTCATACTCTATTATATGATGCTTTATTATATACACAAATACACCTAAGTCATTCTCCTAAACCATTTAGGAGTAAGCTATAGATGGTGCCCCTTTTTGCAAAAATACTTCAATGTCATAAAAACAAAGATATTCCCTTAGTTAGCCAGAGTATAATTCTCACCTTAAGTGATTTTAATACTGACATAATAGTCTACAGTCCACATACATATTTCATCAGTTGTCCTAATAATGCCTGTGCAATTTTTCTTTTCTTTTCCAATTCAGTATCCAACCCAGGATATCACTTTGCATTTAGTTGTCATGTCTCTTTAGCTTCCTCAGTCTGGAAGAGTTCCTCTGCATTTCATAGTTTTTCATGGCATTACATTTTGAAGAGTATCTCCAGGCTTCTCATAACTTACATTAAAAAACAAAAAACAACAACAACAAAAAAAGTTCACGACTGTCGAGTTGGATCCGACACACTGCAACCCCTAGGGTTACGAGGCAGTATCACTACAGAAATAGATTGCCCATCTATAATCTACATACCTTATATATGGTTACCATACTCTCTATATTGTACAAATCTTTTGCAACTGTCCTTTCTGTCTGCCACTTGTTACATGTCATCCAGGCTGACACATGTAGCTCAAATTCATGAATTTTTAACTAATAAATAGTATACCACAGTGTACAGAGTTCCAGTAAGATGGTGGACTATGAAGAAAGACACCACAGACCCTCTTCAACAAAGAAAAGGGAAACCAATTAACACAGACACAGAAGATAATCCTGGACCCCTGAGCCTTGAAG